TAGCTACAAATTTTTTGAGCGCCTCAGACTCCACCAGCTTGTATGGTAAAAGCTGGCGGGCTAATAGTTCGGACAAGCCAGCAGTCAGACGCTGGGCAAGGGGGTGACTTTCTGACATTGTCTTCTTACGCTCAAACATGTCCTTGACAGACACATGACTGTGGGAAGATGAGCGTGAACTGCTCAAGGCGGGAGGCGGAGTGGCGGATGGTTGAGTGGGGACAAGGAGGACAGCAGTGGTTGACGTGGCTGAGGATGCTGGACCAGGAGGAGGCTGGCGGCTTAGAGTAGGCGAGCTGCTTGTACTCATGTGTTGATCCCATAGGCGTCTGTGATGTGAGATCATGTGCCTACGCAAAGCAGTTGTGCCTAGGTGGGTGTTGGACTTCCCACGACTCAGTTTCTTTTGGCACAGGTTGCAAATGGCATTGCTGTTGTCAGAGGCAGACACACACAAAAAATTCCACACTGCTGAGCTCTGCAATGACGGCATTCTGGTGGTGGACACAGCATGCGTTGATTGGCGTGCTGTCGGGCTGACCCGGGTGCCGATGCATGCTGTCTGACTGTGCCACTAGCTCCTTGCGGCTTGACCTCCCCTGCTTCAACTCGTCTCTCCCTCCTCCTGTCTCCCCTCTGAACTTTACGCCCTGTTCTTCTTCTTGTGGCGGGCACCCGTGACATCCATGGGCTGCTCGTCATCATCAACCGCTTCACTTGTATCTGACCCAACTCAGCAAAGGAAACGCGAATTTTAACATCATCATCATCATCACACCGTACGTCCATGGTATTGTAATGCTGCCTGCCTGAGACATATCCCTGTTATCTACATCCTCTGGCAATAATGGTTGCGCATCACTCATTTCTTCAAACGGATGTGTGAATAACTCCTCTGACATACCAACTGAAGCGACTGTGGTGCTAGTTTTGGTGGTGGCGGCAGGCGGGTGAGTGGTATCTTGAGAGGTGCCTGAAGCTAAGCTGGAGGAGGATGGTGCGTCAAGGTTCTGAGCGGAGGCTGTAGAAGATTGGGTGTCCTGTGTTAGCCAGTCAACTATGTCCTCAGAACTTTTCAAGTTCAGGGTACGTGGCCTCTGAAAACTGGGCATTATTCTAGGGCCAAAGGGAATCGCAGCACCACGACCACGATGGCCCCTGCGGGGTGGCCTGCCTCTGCCTGTCATTTTTGTTGGGATTAGTGGTACTATGCGTGCAAGCTACTGTGAGACCAGATATGAGTGGCTTAATGCACTGGCACAGTTGTGCAGAGCACAGGCGCTGTGAGCCTGACACCAGCGAAGATAACTAACTGCTATTCAATCTATAACAGCTAGTGAAAAAGTGTTTTTGTTTTAAATACAAGATTTGTGTCACCAGATGTACTTGGTGGCACTGGTCACCGTATCCACTGTTAGCGTAACACACCCGCTTTAAGGACACTGACTGCTATTCAATCTATAACAGTGAAAAAAGTGGTTGGTTTTTTTAAATACAAGCTTTGTGTCACCAGATCTAAGTGGTGGCAATGGTCACCGTATCCACTGTTAGCGTAACACACCCGCTTTAAGGACACTGACTGCTATTCAATCTATAACAGTGAAAAAAGTGGTTGGTTTTTTTTAAATACAAGCTTTATGTCACCAGATCTAAGTGGTGGCAATGGTCCTGATATCCACTGTTAGCGTAACACACCCGCTTTAAGGACACTGACTGCTATTCAATCTATAACAGAGAAAAAGGTGTTTTGTTTTTAAATCCAAGCTTTGTGTCACCAGATCTAAGTGGTGGCACTGGTCACCGTATCCACTGTTAGCGTAACACACCTGCTTTAAGGACACTGACTGCTATTCAATCAATAACAGTGAAAAAAGTTTTTTGTTTTTAAATCCAAGCTTTGTGTCACCAGATCTAAGTGGTGGCACTGGTCACCGTATCCACTGTTAGCGTAACACCTGCTTGAAGATAACTAACTGCTATTCAATCTATAACAGTGAAAAAAGTTTTTTGTTTTTAAATCCAAGCTATTGTGACACCAGATCTAAGTGGTGGCACTGGTCACCGTATCCACTGTTAGCGTAACACACCTGCTTGAAGATAACTAACTGCTATTCAATCTATAACAGTGAAAAAAGTTTTTTGTTTTTAAATCAAAGCTATTGTGACACCAGATCTAATTAGTGGCACTGGTCAGCGTATCCACTGTTAGCGTAACACACCCGCTTTAAGGACACTGACTGCTATTCAATCTATAACAGTGAAAAAAGTGTTTTGTTTTTTTAAATCCAAGCTTTGTGTCACCAGATCTAATTGGTGGCACTGGTCAGCGTATCCACTGTTAGAGTAACACACCGGCTTTAAGGACACTGACTGCTATTCAATCTATAACAGTGAAAAAAGTGTTTTCTTTTTAAATCCAAGCTATTGTGACACCAGATCTAATTGGTGGCACTGGTCACCGTATCCACTGTTAGCGTAACACACCCGCTTTAAGGACACTGACTGCTATTCAATCTATAACAGTGAAAAAGTGTTGTTTTTTTTTAAATCCAAGCTATTGTGACACCAGATATAAGTGGTGGCACTGGTCACCGTATCCACTGTTAGCGTAACACACCGGCTTTAAGGACACTGACTGCTATTCAATATATAACAGTGAAAAAAGTGTTTTGTTTTTTTAAATCCAAGCTTTGTGTCACCAGATCTAAGTGGTGGCACTGACTGGGGAAATGGGCACAGTATGCACTGTGAGCCTGACACAGAAGCTGGCAGCAGTGGCAGACAACTGACTGCTATTCAATCTATAACAGTGAAAAAAGTTTTTGTTTTTTTAAATCCAAGCTATTGTGACACCAGATGTAAGTGGTGGCACTGACTGGGGAAATGGGCACAGTATGCACTGTGAGCCTGACACAGAAGCTGGCAGCAGTGGCAGACAACTGACTGCTATTCAATCTATAACAGTGAAAAAAGTTTTTTGTTTTTAAATCCAAGCTATTGTGACACCAGATGTAATTGGTGGCACTGACTGGGGAAATGGGCACTGTGAGCCTGACACAGAAGCTGGCAGCAGTGGCAGACAACTAAGTGCATTTACATTAGATAGAAAAAAAAAATCCAAAAAAAGCATACCCTTATCCCTAACCTAGCTATGCTTTTCCCTATCTTATGAACAGCAGCTACACTTTCCCTCCTCTTACTAAGCATGCAGCTTGAGAATGAATCTAAAATGGATGCTGTCCAGTAGGTGGGAGGGTCTGCTAGGGAGGCTGTGCTGCTAATTGGCTGGAATGTGTCTGCCTACTGTGAGAAATGAAGGAATATTGACCCCTTAAGGACACATGACATGTCATGATTCCCTTTTATTCCAGAAATTTGGTCCTTAGGGGTTAAACAATTAATCTGTCAGTATTTCAGAACTGTTTGCAAAACATAATTGAAAGGAAGTCACAAGCTATGACAGTTTCTATGTATCAGGAAATGCCTAACCACAATGTATATGTGATATTTTGTAAGATTAGATTATTGAATGTAACAGCAGAAACTACTTCCTCTTTTATGTATCTTGTGTAACCTTTTTGTAACCTTTTGTAACCAATATTCGTGACAAGTATAGTATAAATATAGCGAATCTTGAATAAACGGTCAGAAGATTATGGAAAGCAAAGAGTGTGCGTCTGGTTAATGCGCTTCCATAAAAATCTTCCCTGAATATTCAGCTGACAATCGAGGGTTGGAGAATAGTGACCAGAGGGACCGAGTCACCAGAGTAGCAGATTTACCTTTCAGCTTGGTGTCAGAAGTGGGATTGTAGCCAAAACCATTTTGGGTGAGTAGTAATTCCTTGTGTCTATCTTGACGCCCTGAATCTATGATCCCCATGGTTTTGTAAGTCTACATCATTTTAGGAAAGGTTATTTAGTATATGTGTTTTCTGTGACTCAGTTTTACATAAGGTCCCGTTAAATTAGTCTAGTAAGGGAACTAGACAGAGAGATATATGTATTTCTAGTAAGTGAACTAGAGAAGGTCTAATAAGAGAATTAGACAGATAAAAGGAAGTCTATAAAGTGATATAGACAGAGAATTTAGTATATAAGTGAATATACTACGATAGTGTGCACAGAGTTTCAGGTTCACCTTGTCCACCCTCTAATTGTCATTAGTTAAGTCTGGTTGTGAGTGTGAATAAGTGTTTGAAAGATTTGTCCTAGGAATGGGAAATAACCATGCAAGAATATGAAGTAGTTAACTTTTCTTGTTCAGGTGTATTTTATGCTTAAATAAGGTTTATAATCATTAGTACTGACTGTAAGGATATGAAATAGTTAAACTCTTTTTGCTTTATATGCTAACCCTGAAAATATACTCACTGAGAATCTTGTTAAAGCACATTTGTAGTGTCCATGTCTTTATTGCAAACAATGATTCTCCATCAATTGGGTGATTGTCTATACTGGGGACACACTTTGGTAAGTTAGTAGTGTGTCCACCCTGAGTCAGCAGTATGGGAAATGTAAGTTCAGGTCCTGAGTGACCAATATATCTACATATATATATGATAGCAGTACTGTATATTAGACAAGAACTGACTCACAGGTTGTACCTGATAGACCTACTTAAATATTTTGTTTTATTCTTTATGTCGCATAGAAGTATAAGTTTATTACTCTGTTTTATTGCAAGTTATTTCACATGGGATCTGTGTGCCTGGTATGATTGTTACTTTAATACCATAAGCCCACTACACTTTCTATGAGAGTGGGATAGTGTAAATGTGTAACATTGTTTGCATGATGAGCTCAGTATTTTTATAACTGAGACAAAAAGTCATTTCATTAGTATTTGAAAGTTAATTCCCCGTATGGGATTAATTGTATTGAAACACCAATCAGCACATCTTCCCTGCCCTGTGTGTTTGTTGCAAAGGATCCATACCGTTAATATGATTTTTGTTTGCAAATAAGAAAGTAACATTTACATTTTCAGCGGTGCAACACATGCTTCATTTTGCGCTGTAAACTAACCTTTTTATTGCAACAGATTCCTTTTAAATGATCCAGTGTAATAACTACTGCATATGTTTTGTGTCTTCTATGTCTCACATTATATGTGTTCTGTTCTTTTAAATTGTGGTATATAGCCTGGATCAGAGATTATGGACAAAGGTTTCTACCTGTTTTACTAAGGCTCTTGGAGGCTGACCGGTCTAAGGTTTGCCATGCCTTTTAAACATGGTATAGAATAATTTTTTTTAAGTCTCTGAGAGTTCTGTAAGATTCTGGTGAAACCATGTCTGTGTAATCTGGTCCAAATGTTTGCTCAATTTCTATAAGATTTAAGTTGATGCAGCATCATCTCAGATTAGTTAATGGAAGTTTCATACAAATATTTGAGTTATGAGCGCGCTATATAAATGGATCCTTTCTCTATATACAATACTACAGTAGATTAAAGTAATGAAGTTAATAAGAATAAAATAAAATAAAAAAAATAATAAAATAAAGTATACATAAGAATCCCTAAAATAAATCTAATATAAACTAAAAATGGTATACCTTATAATATGTTCTGAGTACAGCTGTTAACTGTTTATTCTGTGTAAATGGTGACTGTGATAATGTGTGAAGTGTGCAGCTTAACTGGAAACTGGTTTAATTTATATGTTGCTGTGTTGTTTTCTGATTGTGTTCTGATATAGCTATATGGGAATGGAGATTTGGAGGTATTAGTTTAAGACTGCTTTCATATTGTGTCTACCTGTGTTTCCTAGGAGGGACACAGAGTGTGTAGTTGCGTGCCCAAGAATGTGTTTTCTGTATTGGCATATCTGCTGGGTATCCATTATGTGTTTTCTGATACGTCTGTTTTGTGGGATGTCTTTTTTGTGAGATGACATGTAATATTACATTGGATGCTGAGAATGAGTTATATGGTTTGAAATGAATTGGTGTGTTATGTGTTTCATGTATTTTATTGTCAATTGTGTAGGAGTTTAACTAGCAGAGTGATTTGCATATCATTAACGCAAGCATTTAGTGTTTTTACAAAAGGTGAAATGCTGTCCAGCCGGCTAGAATGAAACAATTGTATGCTATCGCTCCTGGAGCACGAAAAGCGCTTGTTACATCCCACGTGAAAGGGGCCCCGCAAACTTCTGCTGTTCAAATCGTGGGTCCACGTTTCCATTTGCAAACTGATTAATCCTGAAAGTCATTCTTTTACTGATAAAAAGGATTGAATGGACAAGATGTCTCTCCCTCATAAAGGAGTTCTAATAGGGGAGTATTGTCCAGCTCAGAGTTAACTCTACTTTTAAAGTATATTGCATTGTTTGTGTCAAAGTAAGATTCATCTAGTATGCCACCTTGATTATGGGGTAATAATAACATGGTATTTTTATTGGAGATTAGACAATACGGAAATTTATAAGTGAGGTAATTTTAATCGCCTAAACTACTGTATTATATTTGTATGGGTAAATTGAAAGCATTTTGCAGATCCAGAAGAGCATTAATAAATAATATAATAATCTCACTACGTGCCAATTTATGCAAAGAGGCTATCCAAAGTACGCACTAACGGGTTAAACTTGTTTTCTTGATAAGCGTATAACATTTAGTTTTGTGGTTAGACTTTTGATACTCAATTTGAAATATGTCCCAATTACATCCTTGCATGGCACCAGGTACAGGTAGCAATATGTGTTTTAAAAATTTGCAAGGTCTTAGTGTTTTCAATATATTATAATAATGGAAAAGTACCTAACCGCATGTCTGCATTACGCTCATGACACAGACTGTCAGTATTGCAAGCCCTATATGAAGGCTATGCTTTCATTGTTGATGTATATACCCCTAGACAACCTTGCTTTATATACAAAATTTAACTATCCATTCAGCCTTTAAAAGCTTATTAATATCATATCTGTGTGGTACACAAAGAGGGGGGTGTGAGTTAGGTAATCCCATCCTACATATGGAATAAAGGCAGAGGTAGAGGATTTGGTCAAAGGGTCTAACTTTTGTAGAGGTAACAACTTCAGCATTGGTGGAACACACTGTTCTAATTGTGGATAGCAGGGTCACTGGAAAAATGAGTGCCCAAACCCACCCCCACAGATTCCTCAATACCAACCATAGCTTCCAACCTATACCCACACCCAACAACCCCAGCCTAATACACAGATGGTTCATGTTTGTAATATTTTATATAGGTTTAGGTGTTAATCCAAGAGTATTGAATTATTCTGGATTATTAAAGTAATTAATTTTGAATATCAAATCAAGGTTCCAGTTTAGGAACAGAGTTTTATTGGGAATTAGCCCCATATGTATATGTTAGTGTTTTAATATTCATCCTAACAAGGATTTCTATAGAGTGAGTGCTACTCTCA